AGCCTTCAAGCAGGGCTTTCAAACAAGTGAGCTCTTCCCCGTTCACTTCAGATTATGAGACAGCGCCAGATATTGCACCCTCACTGCAGACGGGTAGCTGCTGGAGATGCCATAATGAGTGTGCAAAGCTGTTCTCCAGAGAGTTCTGTGTCATGCACCTCGGTTGCCACAAAGCTTTGGATTGGGCTTCGGGGCTGCCGTGATGCCTAGGCTCTGCTAAGTCCCACATTTCTGCATTTGCCAAATATCAGGGTGCTTCCACACTGTCAAACTATGGGAGCGTTCCCCCAAGTCACTCTCCATAGACTGAATTCAGGAAAGACCCATCTACAACCCAAAATAGAAGCGTGCTGTGGAGGGCTTTGTGGAACACTGGAATTACACGGGCTTTCTCAGATGTAGCCATGTCTATAAACCTTCCCTGCACACTGGAAGGAAAAAGATACTGTAGTTTATCTATCTATATCTATCCATCATCTATCAATCTATCTATCTATCGTATCTATCTATCATCTATCTATCTATCTATCTATCTATCTATCTATCTATCTATCATCTATCTATCTATCTATCTATCTATCTATCTATCATCTATCTAAGCTATCATCTATGTATCTATCTAATCTATCTATCACCTATCTGTCTATCTATCTATCATCTCTATCTATCTATCTATCTATCTATCTATCTATCATCTATCTATCTATCTATCATCTATCATCTACCATCTATCTATCTATCATCTATCTATCTATCTATCTATCTATCTATCTATCTATCTATCTATCATCTATCTATCATACCATCTATCTATCTATCATCTATCTATCTATCTATATCTATCTATCTATCTATCTATCATCTATCTATCTATCTATCATCTATCTATCTATCTATCTATCTATCTATCTATCTATATATCTATCTATCTATCATAACTATCTACCTATCTATCATCTATCTATCTATCATCTATCTATCTATCTATCTATCATCTATCTATCTATCTATCTATCTATCTATCTATCTATCATCTATCTATCTAATCTCTATCTATCTATCATCTATATCTATCTATCTATCTATCTATCTATCTATCATCTATCTATCTAAATTCTATCAATCTATCTATCTATCTATCTATTCTTCATCTCTCTATCTTCATCTATCTATTATACTATCTATCTATCTATCATCTATTATTAATCTATCTATCATCTATCTATCATCTATCTATCATTATCTATCTATCTTCTATCTATCATCTATCTATCTATCATTAATCTATCATCTATCATCTTAAATCCCCCTTATATCTATCATCTTTTATCAATCTATAAAAAAGTGATTTCCTTTGTTTGACTAATGACGTTTAGATTAGCACCACCCTTCCCCAAGCTTTCGTTTTTCTAACCAGAAAAAGTCAAGACTCTAAACTTGGCAGCTTGGTCTGTCATCGTCCTGGTAAAGCACACATGCTCCTTAGCTTAATTTTGTGGGCCGCTTATAGGAAAGCAAGGAGAAATTGTCCTTTTAAAAGTCCCCCCCCTCTCAACTTTCTGTGGGCAGCTAAGCTGCCAGGAAGATATTTTCTTTTGCAAATGGCAGAAAGAAACACTTTTTGCACAGGTGGCTTCAAAAAATAAAATGACTTGGAACCAACTTCCTCTCCTTCTCTCTCTCTGTGCAATAAAATAAACTAAAAATGTAAAGCTAACATTTCTTAAATATTTTTTTTTTAATCATGATCCAACTAAACTTGACATTTAAGGAGGATGCTTAAATCATTACGGATTAGCTCTTATCTCTTGCTAGCAAGCAGGTTTCTCTTCTTATACACTTGGTGATTTATTACATCAAGAAACTTAGAAACTGCAAAGCTCCCCTCTGGTGGGGAAGGTGTCATGCGTTATATCAAAACATGCTGGCAGGTTTCCGGCACTGTTGATTGAACAAAACAGCAAACCGTACACAGCAGTCTAAAACAATTACAACACCAAAAATAATAAGAATAGAATAAGAAATAAAAAAAGGAAAACACTCATCTAGGACCCTTTTTCAGTTGTAAACAAACAAAAAGAAAAAATGCATTTTACTTTTGAATCAGGATTTTTTTCCCTCTCCCCCAAATAACACCCCCCCTCCCCAGACAGGATGGATTTATTGAGAGTTATTGCGCTATGAGGCAAATTAGGAATTCTAATAAGGCACGTTAGAAGCCGGAGGTTTTATTTTCTAGCTTGCTTTGGAAGGTAGCTCTTTGCATTTGTAAAAACTGCTGCGATTAACTCTATGAATTTTTGAGAGCGATTTGAAATATCTTAAGGAAGAAAGAAAGAAAAAAGATCAATTGAAAAAGGCCCCCAATTATCCATTGAAAAAAAAGAAAAACACAAGATTTTAGAGTGCAAGAATACCAATCACACATTTCCCCCCCTGCTTCCTTTTTTTAAAAAAAAGAAACTAGGAATTATTCATACATTTATAACAATCCCCCTTTCCGCCCCCGAAAGAATTAAGAATTCACGTTCCCCCTCTTTCCGTGTGATAATCTAAAGAAGCAAAAACCGCTGAACGAGAAATTAAACAACAAAGAAACCACTGCAAGCACTAAAGGAAACGAACAAATAATAGGAAATAATAAAAAAAATATAATTAAAAAAATGAGCACAGCAATAAAAAACCGTGGCAGCACAAAAGTCAAGAAAGGCACATGTGATCATGACTGGCCAATCATCAACCGATACAACATCCAAGAAAAAATGCTTCAATCACGGCACCTCCACGAAACTTGACGGCATGTCATGCAACCAATTCTTAGCTTCGTTACATGGCGCCATCATGTCACACTTTCAACTTCGAGTTGATTGAACTTACGGACTGGGGGACTGTATTCTCCACTTTCCTGTCATTACGTGAACTTTTTTCCTAGCTCAGCGCGAGACTGTGGTGGATTTGACTGGCTCTTGGTTGGTATTGTTGGAATTTGATTGAATGACAAAAGAAGAAAAGATTTTTTTTATATATATATCTTTGTATTTATATATAGTTTGGAAAAAAAAAAGGCGGGACGGTGGGAAGGAAAGATATAGATTAGAACGGCAAAAGAATTACGAAATCATAAGATATTTTTTGGAAAGAAAGAAAGGGGGATAAAAAAATTATAAGCACCAAAACACAGCATCGTTCCGAAAAGCTCTAATGAACACGCACAAACGAACGTAAAGGAGAAAAAGAACCAGGAAACGGAAAAGGAATTAAGTAAATAAAAGAGGGATGGAAGGAGCCTAGCAAGAGACACACCGACATATACAGACAGTTCGTGTGGGCACATAATAAACAGTGACCATTAACAGAACAATATGTCGTGGCAGCTAAAATAAGCACGCGTTGGATGGATGACAGCAGACGCCGGTAAGTTGGTTCGCAAAGTCTGGGGAAATATATTGGCTGCCAACCATCCCCTGTTGACCTAAAAGCAAACCTTCCCCAGCCACTCCCATTTTTGCAGGCCTCTACTGGATGGGATGGGCCTACTAAAAGACAAGGGGCCGTGTGTTGGCCGGAGACTTGATGTCTCTTTCCTCCAAAGCAGCAACATTCGAAATTTGCCAGGTGCAGTTTGCCCCTGGCTGTCAACCACTCGCGACCAAGTGATGATGCCTGGGCGACAGGATAGTGCCTGAGTCTGACATCTCCACCATCTGGAGATGGAGATGCTAGGATCTTGACTCTTCCCATACACTAGCAACACACCCTGTAGAATTCTATCTGTGATATTCTACCTACACAATCAGAACGAATTTCAGGAACCAAAACGTTGTATTGAAAAATGCAACCTTAGAGCTGTCTGGCCAGAAATGGCAACTAGGCGTTCCA